TTGGGAGGGAATTAAAAAAGATGTCCAAACTTTGGTTGTGTCAACCTTAAAAATAAAACAGCCAGTGATTTTATTAGCAAAATGAGTTTATTCAGGAAGAGCAGAGTTGCAGTTCAGCACATGCAAGCTGTGAGGAACCATAGGCAAGTTGGAAGAGACCAAGGAAAAGTCATCTTTTATTAGGTTTTAGGAGGAAATTGAAGAGTGTTGTTTTATTTGTTCATTTATTAAAAGATTTATTTACTTTGGGGGAGAGAAAGAGAGAGCGCACAAGTGGGAGGAGCAGAGGGAGAAGGAGAGAGAATCTCAAGTAGACTCCGCACTAAGCATAGAGCCCAACTTAGGGCTTGATCTCATGACCCTGAGATCAGGACCTGAGCTAAAACCAAGAGTGGGATGCTCAGCCGACTGCGTCACCCAGGTGCCCCTGAAGAGCCTTGTTTTAAACAATTCACTGGAGAATAACACGAATTTAAGGTTGTGGTGGTTTCTCATTGGCTACAAGTGGGAGGTTAGTGCATTGTTGCTGGGGCAGAGAGGGATCTTCCTTGTTTTTCTTAAAAGGGGGAGATGAAATTCCTATGTTAAAAATGTCCTCCTGTCAAGATAGTTCTTTCTGTTTTTTATGGAGGCTGTACCCCCTGCTTCCCTGACTCCATTTTATTTTTTATTATTTAGTTTCAGAGGTAGAGTTCAGTGATTCATCAGTTGCATACAACACCCAGTGCTCATTCCATCAAGTGCCTTCCTTAATGTCCATCACCCAGTTAATCCCACACCCCCACCCTTTCCCCTTCATCATTCCTTAGTTTGTTTCCTATGGTTAAGAGCCTCTTATAGTTTGTCTCCCTCTCTGATTACGTTGTTTTATTTTACCCTCCCTTCCTCTATGCTCCTCTGTTTTGTTTCTTAAATTCCACATGTGAGTGAAATCATGTAATTGTCTTTCTCTGATTGACTTATTTCACTTAGCATAATACCCTCTAGTTCCATCCGTGTGGCTGCAAATGGCAAGATTTCATTTTTTTGATGGCTGAGTAATATTCCATCGTGTATACATATGTGTGTGTTTGCGTGTGTGTATCACATCTTCTTTATCCATTCATCCCGACTCCATTTTAAATGAGGTTTCCTTTATTTATTTGCACAGTGGGTGTCCGAGCAGAGAGAAGTGAATCAAGTTCTTTCCTCATTGATTGCCTGAAAAATCGAACAATTCCGGTCTTTGGGATTGAGAATGTATTCAGACTCAAAGAATTCAAATACTCCTTCCATGGGGCCACATTTGGGTACCCCTCATTACATCTGCATTCTGCTGGATATCGAGTGACCTAGAAATTTTGGTAAGCAACAGGAGTGATGGCTGACAAGTTACTTCATGTCTCTCCGTTGTTTCTACCACTTTCATGCCTGTGGTTGTGCAGCCACATGATTGACTGGTTTCCACCCGAGTTACTGCTCCTAAATTATTTCCATATTTTGTAGAGTATAATCTGATGATATCTAACTGGTGAGGCACCTGTACAGGAGCCCAGGGAAAAACCATGCATCTGCGTTGCTTAAGTAAAAACACCCCATTTAAAGGTGCTATCAGCATGAGAGAATTTTCGAATCCAGCCAGAGGGAATCAGCACAGCTTTTCCAGAAGGGTTGCCTTTCCAGGTCACAGTGCCTTTTCCTGCTGCATACATCACCTCCCCCCCCCCTTTTTATTAATGTAGGCTCCACGCTGGGACCCCAATGCGGGGCTTGAACTCATGACCTTGAGATCAAGACCTGAGCCAACATCAAGAGTTGAACACAACTAACTGAGCCACCCAGGGTCCCCTACATTGCCTGCCTTCTAATTTGAAATTCAAGACAGCAAAGTCTTCCTCTGAAAACAAATGAAATCATGAGAGATAGAGTTATGTCAGAAGTTAGCCCTTTGGAAGAAAGAGACGACATCTGTACCTCGGAATGCTTTATGTGACCTCTATGGCTTTCGTCAGTCATCTTTCTGTTTTTTTTCTTTCTTTTTTTAAGTTGTCCTTAGCTTCCCCCCCACCCCTTTGTTGCATTGCTTCTTCCTTACTTACACACAATCTAACCCAAACACATTCTCCTTGGCTAACTTTTAACTCTATATTTTTTATGCACTGGTCACATTCTATAATGGGAAGAGGAGTTATTGCTATTTGTCCACTTGTATCCAATTAGGGTATTTGATTAAAGAAATACCCAATTTAAGGACAAGCCTGGTAAATCTTTAATTTGCAGAAGATCTTTCATTTCCGAAATGCTGCGCTCATAGTTTCCAAACTCAGGATTCATTTCATTTTTTCCTCTGACTAGTAGAAGTGAATGTCGCAGTGATGAAATTCGACTGATATACCGTACAATGGAAGCAAGTGTGAAAAAAATTCTTAGAAACATTGGATTCCTGCTTTTGAGTGTCCATAAGGAAAATACTTGAGTTACCTTGAAACCAGTAGGATTTATGGTTCCTATAATGCCAGTGCAGGGTTACTGAAATCTTTGATGATTTGCCAGGCATTGCTTTGGGAGAAATTTAGACCAGTGCTTGCTATAGGTATGCATTATGTAAGCAGTGCCATGATTTGGACCACCCACCTCTGAAAGGTGTGGGAAGGTGTTGGAAATCTCACGGTCTTTTCTCTGCAGTTATTTTGTATAGTTGTCAACCCCCTTCCATGGAGTTATAGGGAATATGCCACTCAGAGGAGTGCTCCGGTGAGATCTGCTTGGAGACCCTTCTTCCCCCTGAGTTTGGGTAAAGAGTATGCTACCTAGAAGTTCAGAAATTGTTGCAGATTTCCCCAAAATCCTTCTTAGATCTGCTTCTAAAGAAAAAATTGACTTCATGAGCCCACGATGCAACCTTTCACTCCATTGCTGGCAGAATTGTCCAAAACCAAGATTATAAGAAGTCCTTAGACTACAGACACCATTTCTGTTTTTTCCAGTGTTCTACCATATGTAATGACATAACTGTTATTATCCAAGAGCAAAAAGCCAGATCCCTCCTGTATATGGTGGCACTGGAAACTCTGCTGGCCGAACTGAAAACAGAGATGAAAGTCATTGAAGCTGCCTTGTTATGGAAGCACACACAGCCCCCGTGACCCAGCACCTTTACGGTTTTGATAGTTTTCAGAAAAAGCTATTTAAGTCACACACATGATATTTTGGTAGTCCTTAAAAAAAAAAAAAGGAGGCATTTTATAGCTAAACAATTTTATTGGGTTTTTGTGAAATAAAAAACACGAAACAAACCACCATGGTTAAAGGCCATAATCAGCATCAACCAAATGAACCAGCCACTTGGTTACAGTAGCTGATAACAAACACTAGTGGATATTATTGCTTATACCCCAGGTTCATTTATATGTCCATTATGTTTTGGCAAGATTACAATCACATGGGAACTTTGGTTGTATAAATTCAACTCTGACCACTCGCTAAAAACTCAACTTCTACCATTTTATGATGGGATATGTCAATTCTTCCTGAGTCTTGACATTTATCCTTTCATTTTGTCTCCTTTCTCCTTCTGCTAATGATTTACAACCCTACTGACCAAAACTTAAAGTAGATGCATTTACGACCATCCATTTCTACTCTATCGCCCTCTCCTTTGTCATGAGAGGGTGAGGCATTCCTGGGCCTCTCCAAACTCTTGGATCTGGTGTGTATCCACAGCCAGGAATAAATGTCCATCTGTAATCTGGATAGATTTTCAAATGCATATGGTTTTCAACACTGGGGTTTGGACTCAACTGTCTCTTTTCCAACTTCTGAAAGCTAGGAAAAAAAATCAACAGCCTTTAGCATCAGTAAGTTGACCTCCCAACAAAATAAGCCCCCGCCACCGCCATGCCACATCCCACGGCGGGTATGGCGCTGTGACCTTAAAATGCTCTGTATGAGTGCTGTAACATTTTAATGTACAGAGAAGCAAGGGCTGACTGCCTCTCCAAAGCTCCCCTGCTCAATACTTTCTATTTTAACACTGAAAACTCAGAATGACAAAGGGTCAGGACTAACTCACAATAGCACCATTTCCTAGACTCTTGGAATAAGATTCCTACCTGCGTTGGAGAATGCAGGGACCCCAGACGACCCAGCCTCCAGCTTTGTGCCTTCACAGGCCCTGCTGACCTTCAGCAGGGGTGGGTGGTCTGCCTCAGCCTACTCCTCCAGCGGCCTGAATTTTCCCTGGGAAGAGTTAAAAATGCGTGTCTTACAAAGTGAAGTTGGCTGCAGGTGAGAGACCTGAGGAAGCCTGTTTCTGTGGGTGAGATGTGACGAGCCTGCAGACGATGAGACAAAGGCTGGGGGTCCCTTCCCTTGCCCATCTCAGTTCAAGTCTTTGAAGAATCTGCACGCAGAAGCATGGCAAGATCCAGGAACACGGAGAGACACAAACCCTCACACAGCCACCCAAACACCAATGCTCTTACGGTATCTTTTGTGTTCAGGTCCACCGGTGGGTTTGCCCTGGATAATGCTGGGACTGAATAAGCCCTTCTAATGATTATAAAGATTATCCTTTTGAATCTGGACATTTTAAACAACAGAAGACTTGGTATCACTGTATTTTACATGGCACATATAACCATATAACCATATAATTACTAGCACTTACACAGCAAATATTGTAAATACACATTCTTGGAGTTGACTTGGTAATTATACCAGTGTTATTCGGCAGAACAAAGATTAAACACTCTCTAACTTGCACTTGGGGGAATTTCATTCCAACCCTGTACTTCACAACCAGAGGATAACCCTCTAATTATGCAATAATGCCTGGTGGTCATGTGGGCCAAGAGAATCACAGGGCGACTTCATGGTTAATTTGTGGCCTGTAAAATAAAGTAATACATAGTATTTTCATTTCAACAAAATACAAGAGACCATATAAAAATATTTTCCAATTTGGACTTTGAAACATGAAAGCTGGATTTTTTTTTTCCTTGGTATAAAAAGAAACGAAGTAACGGACTAAAGTTTATTAAGCCTTCTAACAAAAAATATACATATAAGTTTAAGGAATGCAGTGAGCATTGACTTCCCTTTTTTGTCCAGGCTCATGGATGGGGAGCTTGTGCTTTGATCCCGACAAAGATAAATGCACAACAGTGGAGGAAGATCAGTGCCTGAAACCTGAACTACGACTTATCTCTAATAATAAGACTAATTTTACAGTAGTGCTTTTAAAAGTGGTGTGTCAGATGACTGATTTTTGTCTCTTCCCCCTCAGGCAACTGCTGGAGATGAATTCCAGAAGCACCACTTTCGTCTTGAGTGATGTTTATTTAGTGCAATATCTTCCTTCTCGCGTTCCCTTTTCACACGCTGGTAGTGGTCTTCTTCCTTCAGATACCACACGGGGGGCCAGCGGTGCCGCTCAAAATATTCCTGGTTGTCTGGTGAAGGAAAGGTGCAGATGATGAGACCCGCTGTGTTCGTCGAGGGCTTCTATATTCTAGGTTTTGTGCCCCGTGCTTCTCGTGTATGCTCCCTTCTACATCCTCCCAACAACCCGGTGTGTGGGGATTAGGGATCAGCGGTACGACCATTTGCAGATCGGGACACTCAGGTTTCGAGAGTTAGAATCACTTGCCTGAAGTAGCTGGGCACGGAGAACCTGAACCCAGGACCACCTGGTTTCCGAGCGGAAGCTTGCTCCTCGGCATGCCTCCCTAGACAAGGGTGAGCCCACCCCCTTTGCATGCTCTGCGGCAGGGAACCCCGGACCCCGCTCCACGCAAATCTCCCAAGCATGAAGTTCTTCAAAGAGGATTCCTGCCCCACAATTCCTTGTGTTGTGTCACGGCATGTGACCGCCAGCCAATCACAAGGACTTCTCCTGGAGCTGCCTGGGGCCTGTGCTCAAGGGCACAGAGGGTCAACAATGCAGTCAGAGGCGATGAGAACCGGACCAATGGGAACCTGTGTTCTCACCTGCGGATTTCGATTTGATCTCCTTGCGGAACTTGGAACACACGCTGTTGTAGTTGGTGCAGATGTGGTGCAAACACCAGGCGGCCAACTGGTGGGCATTGTGGAACTACAGGGAAGTGACCAAAAAGGGTGTCAGACTCTACTTTCTAAAGTGGGGCCACAGAGAAATCGTCAGCCACCATAGGGGTGACAGAGATAAGGGGCCCGCGTGACTGATTCGGTAAACCTCTTGTTTTGACTACAGTGTTTTGACTTTGGCTACGGTGCCGACGCCAGCCCAATATAGCGCTTGGCGCACCCCTTCCTTACCCCTGTGACAGGTGCACCAAAAATAATCACCGGTATCAGATCAGGAACTGAAAGCACCCCCCGCCACCCAGTCTCCCCCGCCACTGGTCCGCTAGTGACTCATGACTGTGGCCTCTGGAAGGTGCCAGCCGGCAGCAGAGCAGTGACATGGACTCTGGTTAAGGAAGCCTCAGCCACAGAGCACTCCGTGTCGCAGGTCAGAGCTCGCCTCGCTGGGGCCAAAGATCTGAAAGAGGAGACTGAGGAATGTGTGACTGTCCTGTACCTGTCCTTTGGTTACATAAGAAGAGCGGGCGGTGTGGGCAGGGTGGCAGGGACCCGACACTCCACAGCGTCTCCTTTCTGAGCAGATGCTCGGGGGGATGGAGCAGCTGAAGTAGCTGTGACCAAAACAGACTTGGTGCTCAAAATGCCACAGTCACCTCCCCATTCCTACCCAAGTTTGGCAAGTCTCCCCCCACCCCACACTTTGTCCGTGTCCTCAGCTATCCATTCAGTTTGTGGGTCTTGAGGTGTCTTTGATCAGGCGAAACCCTGAAACCCTACAGGGTGCTCCCTTGGGGGCCCACATCTCTGCCATGAACGAGGGCCCGTATAAAAGCCGACGTCCCCAGAAAATAACTCAAGAAACTCTTGAGAGTTGCAAACCCAACATTATAGACCATTTTTGCTGGTGCTTCCAACTTCTCTTGAGATCAGATTTCTTTCTGAAAGTAAGACTCGGGCACCGGGGTCCTGGAGTTGGCTTGGACCTGCCCAAGAGCGTCAACGGTGCACATTTCTTCCCTACTCCGAGGTCAGCAATTTCACGTTGTTAAAATTGGTCAGGTGGGGGTGTTTATACCCTGGACATTGGAAAATGCAACAGATCGGGTGCCACCTGTCTGCACACTGATGGTTAAATAAACCCAGCATGCCACTAGGCGAGGGTCTCATGAGTGAGCTACGGTATGGGAGGCTCCAGCCTAAACTCTTCCTGCCGAGGCTTGTCAGGGCAGGGACCCAGAGTAAACAGACACAACTGCAAATCACTACCTCAAGTAGACTGGCTCTACATGCAGTGCTGGGCCGTTACATTTTTCTCCAGGAGGAGTACTTACTAGAGAGAGCACAAGTCATAAACTGTGCCCTGGACCTATTTCGAGAGACCTCAAACTCCAAGTGTGGACAACCCATTTTGATGGGACCTTGCTGATCCTACTGCAACAGATGACCGTTCTGCGTTTTCACTGTAACCTCTATTAGGCTATTTTTCACGCTGGATTTTAATAACGTGGGCTTCTGTCTATTTCTCTCACTGTCTATGATTGCCCCGAGGGCAGAGAATCTGCCATTTATATCCACGTGTCCTTTTGTCTAGGGCGGTGCTGGATGTGTGGGGAGAAAACCACAAACACTCGTTGCATAAGTCCAAACCAGGAGGTTGCTGTAAAGTCTGATTCTGCCTTTTCCCCTTTTGAATGCGAACCGTTCCTGTGCAACTTGACCTGCTACTTGCCTCCCTCCTCTCCCTGAAACCGCCTCCTCTCCCTTGATTGAGAAAGAGCTATTCAAATCACCTGACCTAAGGCTTGGTAAACCTCGGCCCTAACAGAGAGGGAACAAAGAAAACTGAACCCAATTGGCTGAAGAAAGGACCTAAGAATGTCTTCTTCGTTCCTTCAGAGTGTAAACTCAGTGTCAGTCAGTCTATGCCAGGGACGAAGCACCCCACACATGCCACAGGGTTCTACTCTTCACTGCCCGTTCTTGAACATTCTCTCCCACTTGATTCTCAAAATAATCTGTAAGGTTGATAGGATGTGAATTATCAACCCCATTCCTTACAGATAAGGAAACAGAGGCAGAGTTTAGGTTTGTGCCTTGTGTAAGTCATTCGGGACAAAGCTGAAGCCGGATCTCGGGGCCTCTCTGGAAGAGTTGCAAGTGTGTACGGGGATTATGGAATCACAATATTGATATTAACAAATACTGATTCTGGAAAACCCCAGGAAAGCTGCACTGAGATGTGGGGCATTACCGCGCTTCATGGAGTTCTAGAAACCGTCTGATCTTGGCCAATATGTGTCCAAGAATTCAAACAAGGAGAGACAGAACCTTCCCCTATCATGCCCCAACTTGTTCTCCCACATGTGAAGCTGGTGCCTCGGGGGACAATGGGGCTGGCGTGGGGTAGGGTCCGTGTTGTTTTCTCAAACGAAGCCCAGCAGGGGGAATGGTGCATGAAACGTGAAACTCTCAGATCTTCTCAGTGTACACAGGGCCCTCTGTGACTCAGTGGTGACATCTTTATTTAGACAGATGCAACAGCGGAATGTTTGATCAGCATTAAATGAACTGGTTGAACACACTTAAAAGGTGAAAGGCAAATTGTTACAAACCTGGGCCAATTCCAAATACGAGAGCACTTCCCCGTCAATGCCCACGCCACTCATCGCGGCCTTGGTCAGCTCCTGGACAGCATACTGCTCTGGGGAAGAGAGAGAACCGGAGAAAGTTGAACCATACCCTTGCAAGCCAGACATCTCACTTAGAGAGTCTGGACTGGGACCACCTAAGAGGAGAGGAATATGGGACACAGCTCTGGCAGTCATCCGAACTGAACTCAGGGCCCACTGTGATGGTTGGCCTTTCAGCATGGGGAGTTCTGGTCTCTGGCCATCGCACCAACAACTCCGGGACACTTGTTTGCACTTCTGAAATAGCTAGAGTCCTCAAGACCTTCAGTGTCCAGTATGGTGACTACTGGCCACGTGAGCCGACTGAAACTTAAATTGAAATGAAATAAAATTAAAAATTCACACCCTCAGCCACACTAGTCACACCAAAGTGCTCAACAGCTACACGTGTATTGGGCAACACAGACACAGAACATTTACACCACTGCAGACAGTTCTATTGGATAGTGCTGCTCTGGATTGTCCAGTGCCTTCCTAGAATCCTCTAGACTCTCTAGTATCTTCCTGTTTGACAGTTTCCCCGCTCATATCACTCCAATTCTCAACAATCTCTGAAAGTGGAAGGACTGAGTAACAGGAATGAATCCATATGGGGAATTAAAAATGTGAATGCAGATGTCTTTCTCAACAGCTGCAGATGGGTGACATATTGTTCAGCCTGTTAGATTCTAACGACTTGGGGGGAACCTTCAACTGGAAGTAACAAAAATCTAGCTGGGAGAGCCACTTCTGCCTGGGAGCTGTGCCCAAGGCTTCTAAGTTGGATCTAAATTGTGATTCTGAGATGGAGTGGTCTCCTGCCTCTGCTTGGGCCGTCCCCTGCCTTTGGGACTGACGCATGTGGGTACAGTCTGGGCCCACACCCCTAGCTCCCTGAGGTTGAGGTACTCTTTTCATCTCCAGCATTGCATCTGTTCTTCTAATCCAGTAAACTGTCCCAACCCTGCTTACCTTCTGTTCTACGCACTTGGTAGTCAACATGTCTCTATCTGGTCAATACGATATCTAGATGGGAATGGTTCCTTTGGCACAACTTTCATCAGTTGGATGGACAAAGAACTACTTGGAAATACATTTTCCGAAGAAGTCATCAGGCTTTTTGATTTTAGGTAACAGCAATATTTCTTGATACTCATTTAACACGTTGGCTTGCAACACATTCTTACCCCAGAAACTGATTTTTAAAAACTATGTTCTGAACACTCTATACTTACCCAACATTATAAATGATTACAGGGATCATCTTAGGCAGCTGTATATTTAATCCTAGCAGTAATAGTAGCATTTAATAACAAAAGGAAACAGGCTTAGAAGTCTGCAGTTCACACCAGAACCTCTCTTTGATTCAGTTCCTTTCACAGAGAGGTCAGTCCCAAGTTTTTGTCACCGTACTTCATATTTAAGCAAAAATGGCACTAGTTTAAGATTAATCACAAACCTTGTTCAACAGATTTGGTTCCAAATTGTTTTTGACCACTTAAAAAAAAAATCAAATTCATCCTCAAAGGATACCTACTTGTAAACACTGAATAGTCACACAGATCAGAACCTATACTTTGAAAAAAGGAACTGCCCACTGCAGCCTCCTAGAGGTAACATTTAAGAAGCAGGGCACTCTTGTGGACCTGTGGCTCCAGGGTGGTTGGTTAAAAACGGGTTTTAAAAAAATAGCAGTGCTTCAACAATCTCTCTCTTTTTATCCAGCGGGGGGTTAGAAGTAAGACAAGGAGAGGACTTGGGTCTCCAGCTGGCTGAGTATAGCAGAAACGTGGGGTCCAGAGAAGCACATTTTATTCCAAAGACACCTGCCAGAAAGTGAAGTGCAGATATGACCTGTTGGTCTGTCCAAACATTCATTTTCATTCACTTCCTGATTCAACAGGTATTTACTGGGAGGCTAATATGCTCAGGCACTTTGCCCTGTGCTGGGGACAGTAAGCCAGTGTACAAAGCTGTCACTATTTCTGCTCTCACGGCTCACAGGAGTCAGCTAATGCAGTGACAAACACCCAGATTGCTAACTGACCCCTCTTGTGAATGAAGCTGAAGGTTTACATTTAGGAAACAGGTATGTGAATAATACACGTATCCTATTTAGACCTGCTTCAGCCTAACAACTGAACAAATCCAGAAATGATTTTGGGAAGTGAAGCCAAGTCCCCCTTTCTTCTTTCTCCCAAAATGCTCTTGACAATGTCAGAACATTTTCTAAAATAGCTTTAAAAAAAACCACTTACATAATGCTTACTAGGTGCCAGACACTGTTCTGAGAACTTTATATATATCTTAACTCCTTAATCTTTGTAATAACTCTACGGGAGAATAACATGATCCCCATGCTAAAGAGAGAGAGTAGACACAGAGTGGTGAAGTGTGAAGTCATCTAGCCAGTAAATGGTGGAGTCAGGATCTGAACCCGAGCAGTCTGGCTCTGCAGCCTATGTTCTTCACCATGGCCTCCTACTGCTCTTTCTTAAAGACTGTGTCTGAGCACACATCAGGGGAATAATGTGGACACAACAGTTTTATTTCCAAACCCACGGTCCACAAATGAGGCAGAGTGCATAGAGCTTGGGTCTCAAGGGCAGGGATCACGCATCACTCATCTTGATAATTGTGTCCCCCTACACGGTCTACCACAAAGTAGGTGCTTAAGAAATATTTGTGGAATTGAACTGGGCTATCTGATATATTTGATCTACTTATTTTTTTTAAAGATTTTTATTTATTTATTTGAAAGAGAGAATGAGATAGAGAGAGAGAGCATGAGAAGAGGGAGCATCAGAGGGCGAAGTAGGCTCCCCGCTGAGCAGGGAGCCCGATGCGGGGACTTGATCCCGGGACTCCAGGATCATGACCTGAGCCGAAGGCAGTGGCTTAACCAACTGAGCCACCCAGGCGCCCCCATTTGATCTACTTATTATCACCCTGCACAAGACAGTCCTATACTGGGTGATAAAAATTTAATTTTTATTCCCTGGAAATGTTATTTTTGCTTAAATGTGATTTTGATAAATTTGACAGTCAGACCCTGCATGACCCTGAGTCATCAGACTTACCTGCAAGTGCAACCAAGTGTGGTAGGCAAAATCTGTTTGCCAAGGCAATTAATTCCAGTGGGTCCAGGTCCAAGTTAGGTGACAACTGCTTGGTATAAAGATAATCCAATACCGCTTGCATTGACATCTTGTTTATGTTCGGGAGATATACCTGAAATGTTATTTGAGAAGCTAAGTTCTGCTGAAGAAAGCAGTGGGTGCATTTCCAGGCTATACTGCTTATAAATATCCCAACCATACAATTTGATATTGACAAGTCTGGGATACCTGCTTTGAGGCCGAGCGTAGAAGTCATTCGCTATTTATTGCTTCAAACGTAACAGCTTGATTTGTAGATGACAAAGGAGTGGGCCGCGCTGCCTGACAAAGCCTGATTTGGAATTTTTAAATGGCTATTTGGACTTATAAATCAGACAAATGGTCTGTAAATGTATGATGACATTATGGGCTCTCCTCACCAAGTACTTTCTAATACGCTATTGTGGGGAAAGAAATCTCCCAGCAACATGACAGGTGTGGGGGGTAGCTGCAAACCACACTGTTGCTGACACACGACAGAGCCCCGCTCTCTAAGATGTCAAAACAGAGGATGAGCAACCACCCTCGTTGCCACAGTGACTGGTCCATGATTCCAACGTTCTATCAATATATGCAAACACAATATACACACTTCATTATTTTTCCTATGGCACAACCACACAGATTCAAAATTATTGGAACATTATCAGGTTATCAGTAGATTCAGAGAATCCAGAGAAGTCCTTACCTGGGACATGTGGGGAACAGTTGGTTGGGTCTGGTAAACTCTCCTTTGTAGGAGTCACCTAATCTCGAGACCTCCTGAGCACCTGTAGTTCTTGCCAATATTGATACCTGCTAGGGTTTGCTAGAGAGCCAGGGCAGGGACCAGTGAGGATGTACACGGCACAGCAGCACACACTCAAACTAACCCCACAGGTTGGGCCCTGGTATAGGACAGAACAGCACCATTGCCTTTGACTCCAGGCATGATGATGGTGATAAAAATTAACCTTAATGGAAGGCCTCCTTCACACGCGGTCATGTGCTAAGCTTCCCACACGCAGTATCTAATCTGATCCTTATATTCTCCCTAGGAGGAAAAAACTATTATTTTTGCCATTTTACAGGTAAGGAAATTGAGGTTCATGGAGTATAGTAAGGCCCCTATCCAAGGTCACGGAGCTAGTAAGTGACTGGGCTTTGAACCTAGGGAGTATAATTCTATGCTCAGAACCGCTGTGCAGTACAAGAAACCCTTCATGGCAAGGAAGCTAAGGTTTGGGTCACAGTACAATTAAGTCCCATATTTCACTAACAGTTCTTAAGCATTAGATTTCTAAGTTCAAAAGGATGAACAGTTATTAACTGCCTATTTCTGGTACTTAATAGACCTCTGTACACCATATAAAGATACAATATGTGATTATATCTCTATTACACGATTACATCTGCATTATATATCTAATCTTTCCCTTTATGTATATATTACCGCCACAATCGACATGGGGCTCATGGCCAATGCGTTCTGGTGTCGTGGTTCCAGATTCATTTAAGCGATAGCAACTTGTATCATCCTCCTGCACAGCCACCAGCCACCTCAGACAGAATATCCTGGCAGACAGAACTTTCTCCTACTGTATCAAAGGGAAGGCCCCCCCCCCAGACCTTCCCAGAAATAGTAAGAAAATTATACACCCACCCCCCTTTCAGACATAGTCGATGATAACAATTATGATCTGGTAAATAAGCTGCATGGGTCATTACCATCAAGGATTTGACAAGTGTCATCTTTCGAGTTTCTAGCACAGCAACAGATACAACTTGGCAAGTAGAAACCGTTACTGATGTTATTTGAAAATAAGCCATTGTATTGTAATTAATTGCTGTTCCAGTGAATCTAACATCAGTTATACTTGCGTATATGCTTACGTACATACATGTTGACACATACATGCATTTATCTTATACAGATCGGGTCTGGATTCGCACAGTTTTCTAGATAATTGAAGTTGTGAAACTTGAAAATTTGGACCATTTTGATAGTGAAAGCATATACATTTTACAAAGTCCTAAGTGCTATAAAGAATTAGGGATCATAAATGTAAACAGTGCCAGAGCTTTCTGCGAAGCCCTGCTCTCAGCTACGGGGATACCTGATGTTTTGGAAAATAGTGGCTTGGAGGACAAGGCAAGAGGCTGGTGCAGGCCCAGGGGTTTGTCACTACAATGAGTGTGACCTCTGGCAAATCGTTCGCCCTCTCTGATCCTCGGTGTCCTCATGCATTATCTGGGCGTTATTTGGAAGAGGTGATACCTACAGCTTTTTCTTCTTCACTGAGACTCTGGTTTTTGAAGATATTTGGATTACCTTAGCATTTTTTGGTAAGAGTGTGTTCTAAGTCACGACAAAATGAACTTCCTAAGTGAAAAGAAATTATTTCTGGCAGCAGGAGATGACAGATTCCTGTAAGCAGCCCTGCCCCAATACTTCCAATGTCTTCGGCATGTTCTGACATTTGTAATCATCCATGACCTGCTTTCTCCTTCTTGCATAACACGATGCTAACAGTTTTCTGAAGCGATGGCTTTGTTGGGCAAAGAATGCTCGGGACCCTTAGAGCGAATGAGAATAAACTAAAAGCACGTTCGGAACCTGCACCTTTCCCCCCCCCCTTTTTTTTTTTAAAAAAAAGACCATTTCTGTGATTTTAATGTTTATGTATAACAATGGAGAGATCATTTCACAGAACTTTTAAAAATAATATAAAGCTAAATATGAGATGGAATTAAGAATTTTGCATCCTACCTGCTGGATGCACCTTAAAAAAAAAAGTCAGCAAAGAGAATATAATGCTATCCTAAAAAACATCCCATAGTCCAGTGTCGTTGGTTTAAAATTTTAATTGTGAAAATCAGCTCAGACTATTAGGCTTATAATTAGAGACGGTCTCATAGAGAATGAGAAAGTATTCCAGATCCAGAGCATTGCTTACTACAAGCCAGGCATGCATTTTTAATGAACCACTTGCTGAGTACCTCTGGGGAGAGAATTATGCTTACTGCTACATTAAAAGTAATGAGAAAAATAGACGTCAAATACAATGTCTTCTTAAATATTAAGTGGCAAAAAATGTTAAAGTAACATCAGTGTATATTTTCTTCCTTTCTGGATATGCATGAGAATCCTATTAATGCAAAAAAATAAAAAGACTGAATTTTGAGGGGGGAAGTCAGATTTTCACAGGACAGTAGAGTTAATGGGTGCCCTAGAAAATGGCAGACCCCAAGTGCCAGTACGAGCCTACATCAGTCATGGAATATTTACTGAGCGTTTACCTGATGTTCCTCCCTCCCCATGATCCGTCTAACCACACTTGGCTAGTTTAGGAAGGGATCTGGGGGGCTTTTTAACTTAGGGCTTTCGGGGGACAAAGATTTTTAATCCTTCATGGAAAGAATTAAAACAAGACTCCTCCAGGACAATAGTCACCGATATTTCTTGAGCTTCCGTATGTTCCAAGCACCGAATTCTATGTTTATACATGTATTCTCCTGACTTACCTGCCCTTTGAAGACGGTTCTCTTGTTATCCCCCATTTTACAGATGAGGACACAGGTTAGGAGAGGGTCGCTCGCTTGCTCAAGGTCAAGCTGAGACTAGAGTTCATCACGACATAACCATTACAGTCTACAGGGGCAATCAAGGGGAGGGGCAGGCAGGGGCACACGTGTCAACAGCTCATGGCATTCTCAACACGCTGACTAAATAAAGGGATCTGGCAGGGGCCTTCGGTTGCTTGGGTCCACGGTCTCTGTCTTCTAAGTTGGGCAGAATATATCCATACCTATTAGCCTCAGCTGCAGTGTTAATGGCCTAGTCTTTCCAGGAGGTCGTGCCACACAGGGGGCCCCTCCAGGAGAGGCTGTTCACCACGTATGTGTGCATTCACATTCTCTGCCAAGTTTTTGTTTTGGTCACCTCTCCTGTACATTTTAATCTGGAGCTGATTACGGTCCGTTCTGGGAAGCGGTGAAGGGGATTAGCATCTGTGAGGTCAGCTCTGACAGTGTCCCTTTGTGCCTGGGTTCCTGACCTTGATCAGCGTCTCTGCGCTGCTAACAGCAGGTGCTCGGCCGCACAATCAGCACACATTTCAGTGAGCTGGAAAAACAAGGGAAGCCAGCCTCCAGGTCCTTTATCTCTGGAGATGGCTGAAGTGGGTGAAAGGCCATTTGGATGAAGTTTTGTTAGTCGGTGGCTTCCCCAGATTTTCTTGGAAGTAAGAGTGAAAGAGTATTTAACCCTACCAACATCACAATAAGACTGACGGCAGCTACGTTTACTTAATGCTCCCGGGGTGATTTGCAAGGTCTGACTTTTACACCCCACTACCACGTTGTGGGTTATCATCATGCTTTCCAGACAGGGAGACCGGAGCTCAGAAAGGGGGTCACTTGCCCAAGGCCACGCAGCTTGTAAGTGGAAGAGTTGGGATTCAAGCCCCACGTCCTTCACTGGGCGGCCTCCACGACGCTGCTGCCGTCTCAGGGACGCGGCTCTGAAACCCCTTTGGTGGCATGGGAAAGACTTGGTTAGTTACAGCTGAGGACCTCCTGATTCAGAAAGTCTGCCAGACACCAAAAGAGGTCATCAGAATAATTCTTAACACTTTTTGCCCACACAGCAAGACAGCCTTTTGCTGGGGGTTGGTTTAGGAGCAGTGGCAGTTTGTTCTGGAAGCAGGAGGTGGCCCAGGGACCTCCTCTGCCCCACCCCTCCCAGCTTGTGATTCTGCAGCCTTACTTGGGGATGCAAACGCAGGCTCCTGGGTCACAATGGGAGTGCTCAGATTTCTGCGGTGAGGGCCCCTTTTGGAAAGTCAGCTATTGTTTTCTTCATTTCTTTTAAAAGTGTGGAGAGAGATGCTGAGATATGCAAAACAAGCCTCTTGGGACAATAAACTTGATGGGGTGTCCCCGTGTTTTTTTAAAAAAAGATGGTTAAAAAATACTTTCAAAACTCAACAAAAATGCTTGCTCTTCTAAAGTTAGAAGTGCTTGAGTGGAATTTTTCTTTCTTTTCCAATTGAGTTTGTAAAAAGATGAACGGGTAGGGTCTTCAAGATACTGCTTGCTCTGCTCTAAGACTATCCTTCTTCTGGAGATAGGGTCGGTGCCCGAGAAGTGACTCAGTGGCCTCCGTGAGACTGAAGGGAGGTGTGTTCAGAGAAGGGACCATTTGCTCCGTTGCCATTTCCGCCCAGTGAACAAACCCTTGGAGAAGGCAAGTCCGGCCGAGCCTCGGGGAGGGCCGCAGCTCCAGGAGACCATCCAGGGCGTCCCCCATGCCCTGGGGCGTCCCTCACGGGGCAGATGAGAAGACTGAGGCCCAAGGGGGTGGCTTCTTAAGGCCCATCGTCTGGTCAGGGGCTCAGGTGAGCCCAGGACAGGGGTGACTGAGGAAGCTTTTCACTGCCTTAAACTTCTGGAAGACAGACTCTGCCCCTATTGGATGTGATTTTGCCAGTGTCTTGCTTGGGGACATTTGTTAAAAAGTAGAGCCGATCATGTTTTACAAATGAAAGCAGTGAGCAACAGACACCAGCTCCTCCTAACTGCAAAATCAAGAAGAGGGTGACCTGACACTCAAACACTGCCTAAGGAACTGGTTCAGGGGAGCAGTTAAGTAATTGAAGTCGTCTGGTTAAACACATGCCCACTCAGAGAGATACCCCTTGGGCTTTTCGGAAGGCACATACCTCACTGTTGGCGCTTTCCACAAACGAGCCCCCAAACATGGCGGCCATCCACCTGCAGCTACAGATCAGCAACGGTTTGTGGGCGCTGATGGCTCCATCATCCAACCTAAACATCACATCTGCCCAGGGATTGAAGAAACATAACCGTGAGCCAGCTTTGCTGAGTTCTGCCCATATTCGTCAACCTACATCTCCTTACTCTCTTCCATAGCTTAACTTGGTGATTTTGTATCAACCTCCACCTTTGGAACACCCAATTCTTTCTACGTCATTTGAGGATTGGGGGTAAACATTTAAAATTGCACATAAGTTCACAACACAAATTCTCTGAACCATACAGTACCATAAAGGAGAGGAATATTTTTTCCTCCTTACTATGAAAAATTTCAAAATAATAGAACAGTGGAAGAAACAGTACATTGTTAACATTCTGCCACGTTTGTTTTAACTATATATGTGTGTGTGTGCATAGATGGTGAATGTGTGTGTATATGTATACACTGTTTTAACAGATAGCATGACACTTCGAACTACTTTGTCAAGAGTTTTCTAAAAATAAGAACATTCTAGATAATCATATCATTATCACGCCTAAGAAAATCAGCAATGATTCCCCAGTTTCATCCATTTTCTAGTTCATATTCAAAATTTTCCAATTATCTCTAAATTGTATTTATAGTTTATTTATTTATTTTTTTAAAGACAGTCCACTTGAAGCTCCACACTGTATTTGGTCACTATGCCTTTGCATTAAGGGGTGGGCGATTCAATTCATTTCACTTAAGGTCCATTGTTTAATTTACTGCAGCTTTGTAACATTGCTTTTCATTAACTTTCAAGATGGCTTCTATTTCATGATGGTCGTAAATATTATTTATAAGCTTTAAAATTAATGAACAGACTCAGTAATCAATGACTAAATGTATAGTACTACGTGTGTATCATCGTGACAGGCATTATGAAAGACAAAGACAAAACAGAAGCGTCCACATAAATAAAAGTCAGAAAGTCACATTTTTACAATGAAAATACACACACACAGAGGGCAATTTCAGAATTTAGTAGCAGTCTGTGCAAGCAAATATGTGAGGGCGCTGTGGCAGCAGACGGCATGGTCATCAAGGACAAAGAAGAGGTGAGGAAAATATAGAAGGGCAGGGTAAAGGGGTGTGAGAAAGAAAAGGAGCGGAGGTGGGCAGATGAGGCACTCCTGATGGGAACGCAGGTGGCTGCCAATGTCACCTCAAGGATTTCAGGGCCAAAGGGTGAGTGGAGAGTAGACTTGGTCAGGGAAAGGGCCCTGGAGGGGAATCGTGAGCATCAAGCTGACTGGCTCTGGCGCAGGCTCAGGCTCAGGGGTAATGTGACTTACCTTCGAGGAGCACTGTGATACCGCGCTGCTTTAGAGGGGAGCTCGCGTACAAATCCTGCCTGTATTTCCTGGGGCAAGTTACCTAACCTTTTTGTCCCTCAGTTTCCCAGTCTGCAAAATGGAATAATCTTTAGCCCCTAAGTCCGCTAAGTCTGATAAAAACGAAATAGATGGATACATGCAAGCTAGAAGGGTAGATGAAAAAAATAAGCATTTATACCCGTTAGTGATGGTTAGTCTCTCCCTTGCTCGTGTATAGCTAATGTTTAATAAAACACAACCAAAGGGACCGATGGCTTTATCGTTGGACCTACTCACCTGAGAATGTCCCTTTGCTGAGACACTCTTTTATCCGATTGGCCTTCCTGACATGAAAAGCTTTTGTAATCTCCTGGTTCATGAAGGCTTCCTTGTTCATGATGTTTTCCACCATCATCCTCAAGTCAAACATCTCCAGAACCTCTGCAATCTGGGCCAGGCCCACCAAGTCCTTCTCCTTTTCATTCAGTTGTCCTGTGTACAGGAACTGGAGCAGGGTCCGGAAAGGGCCTGGCTGGACGGAGGAGTCCATCCTGACCACGGTGACGGGGCCCACCCGCTTTGAAACGGGATTGACTTGCATCTCCTTGTGCATGCCCACGAACCCCTTGCTCCAGCCTGACAAAGTCTGCATCTCTGGAATCGAGCTCTCGGCTTCCAGCCCCGGACCCTCCTGCTGGGACAGGTTTTGGCTCGAGGACTTCCACTGATTGGTCTGAGGGGTCCTTGGGGGGCCTTCCCCCCTCTCCTCATCTGGGTCAAGGCTCCACGCCTGCCCCTGGAAATCCCTGTTCTGCTTCTCTTTCTCACCAGCTCCTTCACTCCCATTTGGGGTTTCTTCACATTCCATTAAAAAAAGATCATAAAATTTGGAAGAGGAGGTAGCGAGGTAAATTCGATGTGCAAAGATGTGCTCCTGGTCCTGAAGGACAAACAGGACGTCGGCACACAGGGGATTGTCCAGTAAACAGGCAGCTTCGCTCGTCCCCATGGAGGGACATTCTGGAACTTTGATGACTGGTGGAGGGGCTTTTGGAGGTAGGAATGGTGCCTGAAGTAAAGGTTTCTGAACTTTCTTTAGGTGGGATTTCCAGAACTGCAGGTGTCTACGAGAAATCAGCGCTGCTCGGATTGCATTGTCAAACACGTCCTTGATGCCGAACTGGTCAAAGACGCTTGTCTCATAGTACGGTATGCCGAGTTCCTTCGCAACCTCTCGGCCTTTTTCGGGGGGCAGAATATCCCCTCTCTTTATGGGCCTAGAATAGAGGATTTAAAAGTTATAATCGGCCTCATTTTAGGAAAAAAATGGTAATGAGGGCCTATCAAAGCACCTAATAGAACTGTATCTTTAAAGTCCTATGCAGGCTTTTTTTTTTTTTTTTTTTTTTTAGAGATTTTTATTTATTTATTTGAGAGAGAGAGAGAGAGTATGAGCGGGGTGGGGAAGAGCAGAGGCAGAGGGAGAAGCAGATTCCCCGCTGAGCAGGGAGCCCAATGTGGGGCTCGATCCCAGGACCTGAGCCGAAGGCAGATGCTTAACCAACTGAACCACCCAGGCGCCCCCCTATGAAGGCTTTTAATAAAACTCTTGAAAAATCTATCAACCTCAAGTCTTCCAACCTTAAGCCTGCAGAAAAAAAATGCTTTCAGTAGTAACTACAGTAACTGAAGTATCAGCCGTATTTACTAGTTATATGATCCTGGGCAAGTTACTTAAACTCTTTAAGCCTTGGTTTTCCCATCGGTAAAATAGGAATAATAATAGTAAAACCCTACATTTTAAAGGACTCCTGAGAAGTTGAAATGAGATACTATGCTAGCCCACAGTAAGCGCCTGACAAATAGCAGCCATCGTCCCATTGTCACCTTCATCTTTGTCACCGGCACCTTATGCTTACATTTTGCTTTACAACCTTACAACGAATCCATATGCTTTTTCTCATTTGAGCCTCACAATAACCCTGCGGGTGTGATTTTCATCCACCTTCTGAAGAAACAGAGGCAGCGAGCTTAAAGGGTTTGCCTCAGGTCACGTTTGCAAGTTGCCAAGAGACCTCTGCCAAGCAATTAGAACCCCGTAGTTCTAGACTGGTTAACTGGTTCACATCCAACGGCCCATTAGGTCCCTTCCATCACGTCTGTGAGCCTTCTCTCATGTCTAACTGCTTCTCTTCTCTTCCACGTCTGCAGTGACTCTGTGATCCTCTTTTGCTTGGACTAGTGCATTAGCCTCTTGCCTGTCTGTCTTCAGACTCTCCACATTTTACCGCACAGTGCTCACTGCTGCAGGAAAAATCCTTACATAACGGAAGTATGACTTGCAGCTGTAATTCTTTTTCAATATTTCCTCTGGTTCCACAAAGCCCATGGAACAAAGGCTGTGCCCTTTAAGCTGGCACACAAGGCCCATTACAATCTAATCAAACCCAGGGAGGCCAAACCTTTGGAAGCAGTGTAAGCAGAATAGTGCCACGACCATGGCATAACACGGTAAATGGGCAATATGTGATTTGTTGTTCTAGTCCTCACAAACACACTCTTGATTCTGAGACATAATGTTAGGAATGGATCTTCCTCAATAAATATTTGGCTTTCAGAATCAAAGGTAACGTGCTTGACAGGCGCTGGTCTTAGGAGAAATACAAGACTGGTTAGAAATTGGATTTGAAGACCTGGATAGAACGCAAGGAAAAACGGTAGGGTGTTGCGAAGGCGGAAGGGGGTGCAGGGAAGAAGTCTTAACTTCAAGGTTGGCTCCTCTGGGCGTTTTGTGCTCCTGGTTCCCTGGGACTGCCTTGAAAATCACTAGCTGGTGACACTCCTCAAGGCTTAGTTCAAATACTGCCTCCTTCATGAAATCTCAGAGCTGCTCTACAGAAGGGACTGTCCCCCTGCATCCTCTAGCACCCGTAACTCTCCTCTAGTCCTCCACGTCCGTGGTTGTGAGGCCTGATTATCTTAGCCGATTCTTTCCCACAGAAAGTTCTGGATGCCAGGGGCAGTCTCTTTCACCGTGAGTCCCCTTCCCCCCATGTGGCTTCTAATATGCAATGCCTAGTTCACGCATTTAACAGAAGGACTGTGAAAACCTAACATGAACCGTTTTCAGAAAATTTATCTGAAATGCACCAAGAACATCAGAAATTGTCTAAAGAAAGCACCATTTGCTTTTGCTGTGAGAGTATAAAAAGCTGCCTATACAAAATTTTTGTAATAAGCCTATTAGACAAACATCAAAGGAAGGTATTAATATCAACATTTTTGGGAAAACTATGCTCTTAGACATAAAATATATATATAATTATTTTTTATGAAGGGAACATGGAGGGTGCACAGGTTTTTAAAAACTCTTATTTCCCCCTAAAACTGGTATTCCACATTTTATACAGAGTCAAACAAATCCTCTTTCAGGTTGATTTTTAAACTTGTGACACTTTAAAAATATTTGCAACTATAGGTCCATATGATTTTTAAGAACTAGACACTGCCTTTTTGGGAATGAAATATTCTCAGAGGTTGGACTGAGGAAAACGAGAAGACTGAAAACACTCAGATGTGCGTATCTGTATGAACCTGATATTCCCGGGGCCGGGGACTGTGGCTAATCCCTCTGCACGTTCATGAACTTTACCATAATAATCATACTTTCAAGAATGACATTATTATGAGTAGCCAATGTTTTGTTTAATTTTTTACAAATTTCAAGGCACTTTTATTCACACCATGTCACAGTTGGAGAAGTCACTTCCAGCAATGGCCAACTGTTTTACAAAAATGGGTTCCTTACCTACGAGGGGACGGTGAGCCTGAGAAGGGTCAGGATTAACAAGCTAACTTAAAGCACATGGCTGACTGATGGGGCCCCAGGACCACTGAGGAGCGCAACCCTAGCCTACAGAGACATCTGTTACCTCTAAATTTTAATTTGGCCAGCACAGCAAATCACCGAGTCCCTTGGCTTACCTCGCTAAAGGGCGTCTGGCTCGATTAACAGCTTCAAGATCAGCATAGCGGAGGTCTAGCTGGCAGCCAACCAGAACAACAGGTGTGCGGGGGCAAAAGTGCTTGATTTCTTGATACCACATGGTTTTCACATGATTTAGGGAATTGGGATTAGCGATCGAAAAACAGAGGACCACAACATCAGACCTAAAAGGAAATCACAAAAGAAGTTGTATTGTCTTATCCCTTTTCTCCTTTTATCATTATGGTCCCCCCCACCCCATCCATCTAAGGCCATATCATGTCACAATAAAACAAAACAAAACAGAACAGAACCACGGATGTTAAAATACATCTCGGAGTCATGCAAACAGCTTGAGAAGCCCCCACATTCCAGCACCAACACAGCCTGAGTTTATTCTCATATCACACTGCGGAACGCCGATGTATTGAAGTTTCCGATGATGTTATTTTACAATACAGATGATTACCCAAACTTGATTCAGTCCTGGAACCACAACATGCGGAACTATTTCTGTTTGTCACAAGAAATAGTTTCAAGATAAAATAAAACAATAAAAACTACCTTTTACCAGTTTAAACGTAAAGGCGATGATGACTCAACCCAATGAGATAAAGCAAACAGTTTAAACATTACTGAAAACATAACAGGTATTTGCTGTCCGGGGTCAGCAAATACACAGAAGGATTTCTGCCCTTCTTCCCACTTAAGCACACATGTAGGGAGCACAACCACTTATCTGTTTCTGAAAAGAAAATGTCCTGAATTTGCGGGGATTTTGACTCTTTACTAGGGATATGGCAAGAGGGTCGTGTTTAACAGAAAGCCAGCAAGAGTTAGGTGAATGACTAATAAGAGAATGTCGGAAGCAGATTTCTCAAATGTTATATGTGACACAGAGCAGGTAAGTGGGGAAAGGAAAAAAGTACTTTATAGTCAATTTTGACATAAGGATCTTCTATTTTTATATAATAACTTACCATTCTAGAAGCCAGAGAACAGTTTTACAAAACAGTTGTTCAATATGGTGTTTGACAGCTGCTAAAAGGTATCTTTAATAAGAATTATAAACCAATCATTCTAGGTTAAAATATGCTGAATGGTGACTTTGAAAACATTGAGGCAGAAGAATATAAAAGAATAGGGAAAAATTATGCCCAAGGATTCAAGACTATCTTGCAGCTAAATTCAGAAATAAACTCTTACAATTTTATTAGATGCTAATTTATTGCCTTTACTGTTTATGTAATGAGAAGAATCAAGTCGATGAATCAAAACACCTTCTTTTTAAATCATTAATGAGCTTTCCCTCCTACATATCAATGAAGACAAACAAATATATCTGGGCAACCATAAAATTTCTAAAAATAATCATTTGCAATGCAGAAAACTGCAGGGTGCTTACATTAAATGTAATTCACAAGTTGAATCTTTAAATTTATATCCCAGAAAAACTGCACCAGTCCACAGCACATACTGGGGAAAATCCTGAGATTAAAATATTTACAAATTATAAAAGAGGACCTAGGACTCAAAGTAGATGAATGTATTAATCTGCATGTTTAGAATGTCCTTGAAATAGATATTATCAGAGATTCATAGACACTGGAAAATATATTATGTGTAAAAATATGTACAAGTATATAAATGAAAGGGAAGCATGTCTTGTCTTCGGGATTCTGATTTAGTTAGTGGAATATTCTGTGCACAGCCTTACTTCTAATCAGCATAAATAACGGTATCCAGGAAAGCTAAGAATGCTTTGAATTTTACATTTTTTAGGAGCTGAGTTTTCTATTATTCATAATCCTATTTATATAGGATATCTGACGCAGCTCTGCTCTAAGCTTCATCCCGATCGTAAAACAAAGCCACCATGAATTTTGGCACAGTGAGATTAACATGGCAATCTGTGAGGTTCAATATTATAGAGAAAGAATTGAGGAAATGCATCCAGTACCTAAATGTAGAATAGTGTGTATATGCCCAAAATTGTTCTAATTGGTACCCATTTCCATATTGAAGCACATGGCTATAAAGGAAATATTCTCAGAGCTTAATTTATATGACAGACATGTAGCTAAATGTCAATTCTGTTATCTAATTTTATGATACAGCATGTGAGGTTTTGAAATCAGAGCTGGCTCCGTTGCCAAGGTTACTGGATAACACTCATGCCACTGAACACATACTAGTTACTATTCAGTTGACCTGTAAACAAGTACAGACAGGACCTTGGGGGTTGGAAAAAATGGAATCTCTTGATGATAGTAGCATAATGCCATCACACAATACAGGTCCGGAGGGCCCAACCTCTAACTGTGTCGCATCAATATCTCAATGCATGAAATGCTTTTGGAAAGCTAGAAAAATAATTCAATGTTCTGCAAATATTTTGCCACAAAAGGATGACAGTTAAAGAGAAGAGGTTGTATGAGAGCAATACTACCTCTGAAGCTAGAATAACTTATTGAATAAAAATTCTATTTGTGTCCTTGGAATAAAGTTACTCTTTTTTCTTTTTATTAATGCACATTTAGGTGCTAGGAGACTGCATCTCCATTGTTTTACAGTAAGAACAGTTCAAGAATAAGATCCTATTTTACCTACCAACTTGTTTCAGTGTCTTTGGCTTAACCCTTGTTGATCTAAATACAAATGCAAGTGAAGGAAACGTTATATACAAATTATGGAGAATCCCGGGCGCCTGGGTGGCTCAGTTGGTTAAGCAACTGCCTTCGGCTCAGGTCATGATCCTGGAGTCCCGGGATCGAGTCCCACATGGGGCTCCCTGCTCGGCAGGGAGTCTGCTTCTCCCTCTGACCCTCTTCCCTCTCGTGCTCTCTATCTCTCATTCTCTCTCTCTCAAATAAATAAATAAAATCTTTAAAAAAAAAAAAACAAATTATGGAGAATCCCATTCTTCAGGCCTGCCCTAATATTGTAGTACCCTAATCCTGATTTTAACCAAAAGGCTGGGAATCAATGGATGTGGTGATGGATGGAGCTACAGAAAGATGCTGTTTTGACACATTCCTCCTTAGCCCAATATTCTTTCCTAACCCTTAACTCTTCACACAGCAGGATCCTCTGCCATATAAACACCTATACAATCAAGTAACTATTTTGAGAATGCCATGTAGTCCCTCTAGATTTTGAGCCGCTTTTTTATCTAGTCAAGGAAGGCACGAGACCTGCAGCTAAGAATATCTCCAGCTTTAGGCAGAATTCCAAGGAACTAGAGATATCAAATAACTTTTAATCAAAACATTCATTCCTGTGTGGAGACTGTTCAGTGTCTGACACAAGCCTGTGTTTAAAAATGCCATGCCTATGAAAGATAACAAGAAAAAGGCAGGTTCTAGCATTTCTACTTCTGTGGCTCGGTTACATTTTCTTACTTGGAAGAGTTGAGTTTAAAAATAATTGGGAGGGGGAGGTGTGATGAGGACATTCTCACATACTATGCAGCAGGGTTAGCCTAGAAATGACCTCAGGGTTCCTATTTCAGCTGTAAAAAGAATCTGATGGGTTTAAATGGCATCCTACAGCTATTTGGAGTAGAAAGCACAAGAATTTGAGAATGCAGAAGCAAAGCACAAAGTAGACAAAACTCTAAACTCCAGAACTTGAATATTGAGAAGGGGTAGAAAGAGGTTTAGATTTTGTTTTTTGTTTTTTGGGTTTTTTTTGAACCCAGCTAAGTGGTTTTAAAGGAAGCCAGGATTACAAAGGATTTAAGAGTGCAGGGTCTCAGTTGCTTACCTACGGAATGTTTATTTTGGGGAGAAAAATGTAATATCTTTTCCCTAAGGGGAAGATATTAATATAAAACTTTCACTAATAATACCCACGGAGTAATGTTTTGAATAGTGAAGAAAAAAGAATCCAGAGCAAATCTGTATGTTGACACAATTGTGAATCTCGCTTCACAGACGGGTGGGAGGTGGGGTGGGGGTCAGGGAGAGCCCAAGTCATCCAGAAATGCTTGAGCTGGTAAAGCCAACCTCCAGTTGTATCAGTTTTTCTTCAGATATTAAACAAACAAGACAACATGTTTTTTTCAGTTATCTTTTAAGGAGACCGCGGGCCAAAGATAGCATGTAAAAAATTGGCAAAGGTATTTGGGTAACATAAGGAGTGTGTGCAAAGTTGGGACCAATCTTTGTTGATGGATGCAAGAAAAAAAATCTGAAAACAGTGCATCTTACCCACACATCTTGCTCGGCTCAAGCTAGGCTTGAAACAGCCAAGGCCATACAAATTCCCCAGGCCTGTCTTTATAACATCTACAGTGAAAGAGAGCAAACGTGGTGGGAGAAGGTCAGACAAGCAACCAGAAGGTAAACTGCTTTTCGAATGTGAAATATCAAATCCATCCTTTGAAGAAGTGGTTGAAAAAGGGTCGACAATCACTATAACACTGCGTTGTTAAGAATGGATTTCCCAAGCTCCCTCCTATCACAGAAATGCTCTTATCTTCTTGGTTTATTTCGCCTTTCCTAGTCCCATCCACCCTGCCACCACTGTCCGGCTAAGGAGCTGCTGCGGGCCTTGCATTTTCTTATCTGGTTAAGTGGAAAAAAAAAATACCTAAATTATCCTTCATCTAAGAGCCTAACATTAGGGGAATCTGATGGGCCATCGGGAAGGTTCGTGGGTTCCAGCTGTGAGCGGGACAGCCAAATGCCCTTCTCCCACGGGCCAATTCCGGTCTTGTCTCTTGCTGATGCACACTTGGTGACCAAAAGTAAACCAACAGTTCTATTTATTTGAGTTTCACTTGGAAGTATCTCCTTGTTAACATACCCTTTAAAGCCTTTTGTTCTGTGGTAGGACCCTACTTCTTTACACGTCAGTACTGCCTACCATTTCTTTTTTTAGTAGAGACTCCCTATATCCTTCATCTTGGTAGAGATCGTGATCACATTTTAATGGGCTTCTTTCCTTTGTCGGTGCTTTTCGGGCCAAGATTCAAGTAGGAGTCCCTGATCTCCCTCTTTGGGGCTTCAAGCTTCCGTCTCCCCCTATAACCTAGGTAGGTTCTTTACAGAAACATTTTCAAAACCATTCAATTCAACAACACACCTTTCATGCATGTGGTCTGACAGCGCTATGCAAACAGATCAAAACAGCACGAAAGAGCTGGGAGCATGGCAGAGAAAGGGAATGTGTCACATGTGGC